CCGGAACTACAACAGAGACGGGGCAAGAATGCGTTTCGATCTCGGAAATTCAAACAGCATTTCACTTTAAAGAAAGAGAAGGGAGAACGAAATATAGCCTAACTGTGCAGTGCAACCTCTGCTTGCCAGCAACCAACCTCCTTTCAGCGTCCAAAGCAAGGGGGTAATCCATCAGCCGGAAGTTGAAGCTGCCTCCGGGGGCCGCCATTGTAGCTGGCTATCACCTGCTGTTAGCATCCCATTGACTCCCATTCATTTTGGCGTCACTTTGACAGCGAATAACTTTACATCTGAGGCGTCCAAAGACTCCATTTGTCCATTATTTATTTCTAAAGAAACACGACAATGTCTAAAAGACTCCATTACTTTGTATCTTACACGTTATGGCCCCGTAGAAGCCATTCTTGTAAAAATAGGCTAACGATTGCGTCATAACCACGGGACGCTCTGTCGTACAGTAGAGAAATTACCGTGTAGACAGAAGGAGAAGCTCGTAGGCAATCGTTTACTGTCTATGAGGCAATCGGGTGGACATGGAGGCATAAAGTCAAGGGAGAAGCCCATAGATAGAGAGTTCATAAAAGCAACGGGACAAAATATTTCAACAACAGATTTGTTTCAGATTTCAATTCAGATTTGTCCCGGCACAGCTACTAGAAGGTCAGATTTGTCCCGGCACAGCTACTAGAAGGTCAGCTCGTCGTCAAGCTCAGTTTGAGCCTGCGCCGTGCGCTTGGCTATCAGGAAGTGAGTGCCCATGTTGGGCTTCAACTCTCTCCGTTGAAATCAACGGGGTCGCTGTGTCCATTTCTTTTACTGTCTATGGTCCAAAGACTCCACCTCCAACCTGAAGAAGCATCTTAAAGTACAATCCGCTTGCCAGCCCATTCACTCTCAACAGCAGTCCATCTTCCAGCTCCTAACAATGCAATCGCCATGGAACCACTACCAGTCCCAGCCCATCTCCGTTCCCTAATTCTATCAGGTGCAACTATCGATCTTCCTTCTCTACTGACTTTCGTCCCTCTCAATGAATCCCACCGCTCGTTTGACTTAAATCGTTGATCTTACAAATTCTGTACAACCTTCAAAACGAGTTCTCTCACTTTCAGAATTTTGCGTTGCTTTTGCCAGATACACAGAAGTAATTTGCTCTTCATTTCCAGCCAGACGCAAGGAATTAAATGACTACCTCTCTACCATAGCAGAGCTCAGTCTCTCTTTCGGAGGTAGTAATTTTTATACATACCATAAGCTTTTTCCAGCTAAATCCTAAATGCGCCGCCCGCGTCACACCCTGGAACCAGTGTCCTTACTGGGAGCCTTGGACCTCGAACTATATAACAGAGTCTTCTTAGGCGTTCGAAGCCCTTCTTGCGCCATCTGCAGGTCTATCATTCATTCTACTTCAGAATGTCCCCAAACCGACTCAGATCTTCCGAACCATCCAGCTCCTTTCCAAGAAAAATCCACTTGATATGTCCCTCAATCAAGGAATGACCGTAACCAGATTTCTACCTCAGTTCCAGGCAGACAAGTGTGCAACAGCTTTAATTCATCACGTTGCAACAGACAACGATGCCACTTCCTCCATGTCTGTAATTTCTGTGGCGGAGCTCACGCCCGTTCTATGTGCCCTGTGCGGCGCTCCTTTAGCTAACTTTAACCGTCGACATTCTTAGCGTCTGCCTAACCACTCTCCGCTCAGGTCTTGTTCTCCTAACAAAACAAGAGCCCCAGACGCCATGTTCAATTTGGCTTTCTTCCGATCACCAAATCAAAATGCTAGGTCGATGGTCGTCCCTCGCCTTCGAAACATACGTTCGTTCAGATCTGCATAACATTAGGCAAGCACAGCAAACACTAGCATCCCTCTAAGTCTGGACCGCTTCTCCCTACTATTTTGCATCTCCCCGCTTACCTAGCCCCGCAGGGCGTGTATTCATCTGGATGCAGTGAGAGCTCTCCCTTTTCAGATGTGCGTGACCTACCACTCCTGGAGTGGGGTCTCCCATCTGAATCGCCGTGTGGGCTCTTCCGTTCAGAAGCATCATAGGCTCTCCCGTTCGACTTGCTGTGTGGGCTCTCCCGTTTTGATCGCCGAGTGAACTCCCTATTTATACATATGGGGGGGCTCTCTCCTTCGAAACGCTGCGGGAGCTCTCCCGGTCGAATTGCAGTGTGAGCTTTCCGTTCGGGCGCCGTGGGGGCTCTCCCTTTCCGAATCGCTGTGTGATCCTTCATGTTTTTAACCATGGAGGCTCTCCCGTTCGGATCGCAGTGTGGGCCCTCCTATCCGAATAAATCAGGACTGGAGGTACCAAGGATCGTACGTCCCTCGAACGCGACGGGCCATTGTGTCTTTATGTGATCTCCGCCCCCTGCGTCAGAAGGATGGTAGTTCTGCTTTTCCTTTGTATACCGTAGGCTCCCTCTTGCTGCGTAGGGAGTTTCGCTTCAGACACCGGTGGCCCGTTCGCCTTTAGGGACGAGGACCTTCTTCCCCATTTGTGACATCTGGAAGCCCCATGTTCTCTAACTCCATGGAGCTCCATGTCATGGATGTGGCAGGGCGTTCTCCAACCTCGTACTCAAACCTCCAGTCCCAAGATACTCCCGCAGGAGTCATTTCTGAAAGTCACTGCCGCAGCAGTGCAGCGGTGAGATGTACCCCAGTCAAATTTCCACAAGCCCATGTCGTTTCACTCCACAACGAACGCAGGCACACTCTTTAAAACACAGCTCCCGCCGGAGCTCCACTCATAGCCCCACATGGTGGGCATAGTAGGGAGACGCAGTTCCAGCCAGGAGCCCCTTTAAACATATCACTGCCGCAGCAGTGTCCATCCATGCTCCATACAGCTTTCAATTTCCACTCTTTTGGGGGGTAACATACTTTAAGCTTATAGGCATCCCGTATTTGATCACGTTATTCTAACTTGCTGTCCCAAATATTTATTCAACACTTTTGGGGGGTATATCAGAGCTCGAGTTGAAGCTGCTTCATCGAGCCCCTCTCCAGCGGACAGCAAGCCAAATAAGTTTAACCTAATATCTTAAAGATTTTATGGGCAAACGAACTCGTTAAATGAAGTTCCTAAACGTAAATTAGGGAGGAGCGAGCCCATCCAATCTTTCAATCAACAAACAGAGTATATAAGCAGCCGCTTACCTCTCCCTAGTATCAGCTGTTCCAGTATCCCTCCACCTCCCCAAACTCCACCTTCATCTTAGGTACCTTGCCCTTTAATTAACAGGTCCTACATTTAGCCACTGGGGGGTATATCAGAGCTCGAGTTGAAGCTGCTTCATCGAGCCCCTCTCCAGCGGACAGCAAGCCAAATAAGTTTAACCTAATATCTTAAAGATTTTATGGGCAAACGAACTCGTTAATAAATAATTAAATAAATAAATAGACTATTTGTATAGACTGATTATGTGAGAATCAAAGGGAGTGTTGAACACCAATTGCATGGGACAAATGATACATTCATAATAATTTTATAATATATAGAAAACATAAGTCTTATTTCAAGCCCAGCTTATTTCGTTTTGCACAAACATTCCCATCTCAGACTTTTCCTTGGCTCAGAATCCCACTTTTTCCATTTTGTCCCCATAAGCAGCCTCTGGTGTCTTTGACCAACCCTGTTATTAACAGTGAAGCAAACACTCGGCTGGATCAAACTATGAGAACAACCAGGAAACTCCATTGGTTGTGAAGATGACAAAAAAGTTTCCATTTAATTTTTTCATGTATTTAAATGTTTGAATTGTATATATATATATGTATACACACACACACACACACACACATTTTACGTTTTAACATTGCCACATACATTTAAGATGAGATTTTTGTGCAAATTGTTTTTGTTTATATATTTGTTTTGTTTATTATTACATAAATGTATAGGCTATTCATAACATATATAATATACTATTATTAACTAAATAATAAATTGTATATTATTTATATATTTATTTATGTAAGTGTGTGTGTGTGTGTGTGTGTGTGTGTGTGTTTATGTGTGAAATTGATGAGATTTCAGTGCAACGTGAATGAAACAGGATATTTAAGATTTACTGACTATACACTCAAAAAAGTTGTATTTTTTAAAATGTACGAATTTCAATTAATAGTAAAATTCGATCAAATTGAATTGAAAAATCCTTACATATTATTCATATTTTGACTTTTAAATGAGTAAAAAAAACTAGAGCTTAATAAAACATTTTGTATAAATGGTACAATGGAACATTTGGTAGTCATAAATACATAAATGAAAAGAAATTAACATTTAAAAAATAAATAAATTTATGAATACGAATCACACAAACTGAAATGGTCAAGTGACTCATTCCTTAAAAAAAAAATGTTTAATTAAGCTCTAGGTTTTTAATTCAAAATATGATTATTATTCAATGATTCATGATTATTCAATTCAATTTGATGGAATTTTACTTTACAATTGAAATGCCTAATCTTTTTTTTTTTTTTAAAGGCTTTATATTTTTTAGTGTGATTGAATTACATACATTTTTTTATCATATTGATTAGCCTAAATCATGTCAGCTGAAAAAAAAAAGTCATTTCAGAAGCAGAGCGAGTGACTATATGTTGATAAGACTGAGAAACTCTTTTGAAACGTACATTGATGAGTTTGTTTTAGTGAGTTTGCCTAGTTTAATGAAGCATGAGGAGCCAGTACACACTCTTATGCACATCTTGCTTCTAGTAGAAGATCGGTTACTCACTCCTAATATGGGAATCTGCTGACTTTTCTGTGGGTAAAAGGTTTGGTTAAGGAGGGTGTGTGTGTGTGTGTGTGTTGAGGAAGGGGAGGTGGAGGACACCAGGGAATGAGTCTCGTCTCCTCAAACTCAGGTTTAAACCATCGGCAGCAGCGCTTCAGTTCAGTGTGGACTCTCTCCTCGCTCTCGTCTCACAGGGAAAAGCGCTGTGATCTCTCTCTCTTTGTCCAGTAGCTCTCAGCTTCCTCTTCATTCTCTCTCTGGTCAGACACTCCAAGAGCTAAAGAGTAAAAATGGAGGCGATTAAGAAGAAGATGCAGATGCTGAAGCTGGATAAGGAGAACGCCATCGACCGGGCAGAACAGGCCGAGTCTGATAAGAAATCAGCGGAAGACAAATGCAAACAGGTGAGAGGAGGACGAGCACACGCGTATCAGTGTCTGTTAACTGAGATTAAAGTATGTACCAGTGTAATGCTTTCAGACACTATGGTTTTACTTTGATATACAAGTTATTTAAAAGTTTGCATGCTTAAAAACTAGGGATGCACCGATATGACAATTTTGGCCGATACCGATAACCGATATATTGGCAGATAAATCTAAATCCAAATTTTTAGATAATTTTTGAGAGCCTGATTATAAAAACAAAAGCCTCGCCATTAAAAGCCAAGATACAAACACAATTATGATGTTCTCATTATAATGTTATGTAGCCGATATGACAGACTTGCAGCACTTTAACTGGATTTTCCTTTTTTAAAGTGATTTCAATCATATTTCAAGCAGTTTAAAAGCATCATGTTGAACAGTGCGCATCTGAAGCGTCTCAGCTGAAGGATATAATACATTATTTATCGGCTTTAATATATCGGCTAAATTTTCTTTGTCGGGCCGATAACAATAACATTAAAAATGATCATATATCGGCCGATACCGATAATGTGGCCGATATATCGTGCATCCCTATTAAAAACATTAACAAAATACTTTTTATAGTGTCTAAGGTCGCTAGGATGACGTTTGTTTTCCTGAATTCAGTTTATGTAACATGCTTAAATGAGATATAGCAGCCAAAGAAATCTCTAATTTGGAGTAATTTTTCACAATATGCCATCTGAATCGTTTAAGGAGGCATGGGAACTCTGGCTTCATTCCCAGACCCCACTGAGGGATGATGGTATCCAGGGCAGGAATAATCCCGAAGCGTGCCAGCTGTTTCTCTGGGCCTGTGTGTGTGTGTGTGTGTGTGTGTGTGTGTTTGGGGTTGTTTACATGTCTCTGGAGTGCAGCATCCCACAAACCCTTCGACATTCCCACACATTCCAGACTCAGAGATACAGCATGCCTGTATTATAAACATTTTCAGTTCACCCAAGACCATTGTAAAGAATATGTAAGAATTTTCATGTATTCCTCGTTTATATTATTAATATTAGTAGTATTGCCAATGTGTAAACAGCTTGTAATAAATCGTAAAAAAAAAAAATGTTTTAAACGAGACCTTCCCTGACTTTTTTAGGTTGTCTATGAAACTGATTTTTATGTAAAGGACTCGGGACGTTTTTGCCTGGAAAATCACAAGGATGTGATCATGTGACGGTTACGCACGCTCCCGAGAGCCTCTCTGAAATTCAATGACACATTAAAGGTTCTCTAAGCGATCCTGGGTGACGTCACTTCTTGTTGACGTTCGAACTATTGTCAAACAAAACGGAGGCTAGCTAGACCCTCCCTCCTCCTCATCCGCACACTAACCCCCCAAACCCCGCCCCCAAGTCCTTCTTGTCGGTCATTGGCTGGAACAGTTTGTTATGTTTCGGGGAGCGGGTCGCCGCAGTTTGCTTTTGTTGCTGTTTGTGGAGCCTGGGCTGTCTACAGAGATCGCGTTTCTTTACAGTGTGTTCAGGGGACAGGCAGCCAGCGGATAGTGAGGAGATGTTTGCTGTATGTGACAAAAAATGTTTTGGCCTAAAAAACGCGTGACATCGCTTAGAGCACCTTTAAATGAATGTTCACGATACTATAGTCTCACATTGTCAGAAATATATAGGTCATATAGTCTATATTCTCACTCATAACAGTGTAATTTTAATTACCTCATCTGTCGACATGATGTCGGTGAATCGCAGAGCTGGTGTAAACATATCCACATCGATATGATCAGATGTTTTCTGGACTGCTGCTTTATTCCCACCGCTGTTATTGTGTATTAAAAAGCGCAGCACATATTCACATCTTCATCTAAATATCACTCTCAGTGTTTTCGGCGTTCGTATATCGCTGCAAACTAAGGTTTTCTAACTTCTTTTTACCTCTAAGCGAAGACCGAAAAATAACTTCGTTGTGAGTATATTAGGCCATTGAATCGTTCAGTCTCGTGTGCGTTACACGAGCACGAGAGCTGCTGCAGTTCACGTAGTGGCCACCGGTGGCGCTAATAAAGGAGTTGATGGAATGTAAGTGATGATGTTCAGAAGATTCCAGATTCTAGAATTAGAATCACACAAACAGAATTCCAGAATTCGAGTAAAGCCCTGTCAGTCTGACAGTGACATCACTGATGTTTGAGTCGCAGCTGCAGACGGTAATATCAGCGTCTCTGAGGACACACACACTGATCAGTTTATTAATGCTGAGCCGTGTGTTTCACAATGTCCTCAGAGAATCATGTAGTTCATGTAGATGCATCTGAAAATACACTCAACTATCAACACATGAACATGAACTCTCTCGCTGAACTTTCTTGAAAGGGCAATGAAGATCAAACAATATATCACTTTCATTTGCTATCTATCTATCTATCTATCTATCTATCTATCTATCTATCTATCTATCTATATATATATATCAATCTATCTATCCATCTATCCACCCATCCATCATCCATCTATCTATCTATATATCCATCCTCCATCTATCTATCATCCATCCATCCTCCATCTATCTATCATCCATCCATCCTCCATCTATCCACCCATCCATCTATCCATCCATCCATCATCTATCCATCCATCATCTATCCATCCATCCATCCATCCATCCTTCCTCCATCCATCCATCCTCCATCCATACATGCATCCATCTATCTATCATCCATCCATCTTTCCTTCCTCCATCCATCCATCCTTCCTCCATCCATCCATCCATCCATCCATTCTCCATCCATCTATCTTTCCTTCCTCCATCCATCCATCCATCCTTCATCCATTCATCCTTCCTCCATCCATCCATCCATCCATGCATCCATCTTTCCTTCATCCATCTATCCATCCATCCTTTCTCCATCCATCCATCCATTCATCCTTCCTTCCTCCATCCATCCATGCATCCTTCCTTCATCTATCTATCTATCTATCTATCTATCTATCTATCTATCTATTTATCCATCCATCCATCCATCCTTCCTTCCTTCCTTCCTACATCCATCCATCCATCCATCCATCCATCTCAAGGGGTCAATCCTAATAATAATGCTATCTATCTATCTATCTATCTATCTATCTATCTATCTATCTATCTATCTATCTATCTATCTATCTATCTATCTATCCATCTATCTATCCATCCATCTATCCACCCATCCATCATCCATCTATCTATCTATATATCCATCCTCCATCTATCTATCATCCATCCATCCTCCATCTATCCACCCATCCATCTATCCATCCATCCATCCATCCTTCCTTCCTTCCTTCCTTCCTACATCCATCCATCCATCCACCCATCCATCCATCCATCTCAAGGGGTCAATCATAATAATAATGCTATCTATCTATCTATCTATCTATCTATCTATCTATCTATCTATCTATCTATCTATCTATCTTTCTATCTATCCATCCATGTTAATATGTTCTGTTGTTGGTTGTGTTTCATCAGCTCGAGGATGAGTTGCTTGGTCTAGAGAAGAAACTGAAAGGAACTGAAGATGAACTGGATAAATATTCAGAAGCTCTCAAAGAGGCTCAGGAGAAGCTGGAGCTGTCTGAGAAAAAGGCGTCAGACGTGAGTATTCAAGCGTTAGACGCTGTTTACCAATAAAATCATTTCTCTTCAATGAGACGACAGGTTTCAGTTAAACTGCATCATCAAAAACACATGTGATCACGATAATAACTCCCTCATAGCTTTTATATGCATGTGGCAAATCTTTGCACCTGGCCGGGATGCGAAGGTTCAGACAGATTGTTCTCATTCCAGCGACAAAGGTGCTTTAATCATAGTGGGAGCATGTCAGCAGCTCCATGTGGAAAAATGGGAAGAAAAAGTTTCCCCACATTCCTTTTCGGCTACCGTTGACAGCCTCGAATAAATGTATTTCCCAATCATTCTGTTACCGGACGCCCCACAGACGCCAAACGTCTTCAGTGTGCAATTTTTTAGCAAGGCTTAGGTCTACTTGAACTCATCGGCCTTTTTTTATTTTTTTAACTGTGGAATCCGGGCTCACATGCTGAGGAAATGGATATTTAGGGCGAGAGCCACCTCTGAAACCCACAGGGAGAAAATCCAGACCGCAAAGCATATGAGAGCCAGAGCTGCACAACCAAGAAACATTATAAAAAACTGTCTGGACGTGACGTCCTCCGTCCCAGAGCTGCATTCTTTCAACGCGAGAGAATGTGCTGCAGAATTCTTAAAGGGACAGTATAAATAATTAGCTTATTATGAAATGCTTATTTGATCCATACAATGACACCACGTCAAGCTTCGAAAAGACATTATGACTTATATATTTTTATACATTTGCATTATGCATTTGGTCGACACTTTCATCCAAACCAACTTATTGCATTGCATGCATTTTTTTTTTTAGTCGTACAATTTTTGCTAATTCGTACATATTTTACGAGTTACCAAACTCGTATGAATTCGTACGAATGACCTATCCCTGACCCCGCCCCTAAACCTACCCATCACGTGGGTTTAGACAAATCGTACAAATGGGCTATATGCACGCATAACTTCCGCGTTTGACGCAAGGATGCTCGTGCGTTTCCGGTTGGGGAGATTTAAAGCGGAGGAAAACCAAGGAAAACGGGATTATGGCAGAGTCTTCAAAATTGACTGTCCTCTCGCCTTTGAAACGAAACTTTAATACGTTTAGATGTAATTTTATATATAGTTATGTTTATTTAATATAATAAACACAGAAGCATAAACAAAATGAGGAGTGTCTGTTTTGTCTTTTTTTGTGACTAACGTTTCTTTAGTATAGCAATTGAGTATAAAAACCAATATAAATTCTCGGTATAGCATTGGACTCTACGATCGGCGGAAGTAATCCAGCATCCTTAGACCTTCACCGGAAATACCGCCGTGCATAGAGCCCATTCGCACGAGTGAGGTCGTATAAGTTTAGTACGAATTAGCCACCTTTTAATCACTCGTATGAATTCGTACGAATTGGTCGTGAGATAGCGTTGCATAAACTGATGTCGCAACTTTTATCGCAAAATGGAACTTAAAGGAGTAGTTCACTTTAAAATGAAAATTAGCCCATGATTTACTCACCATCAAGCCATGTACATGACATTCTTCTTTCAGACGAATACAATCGGAGTTATATATTAAAAAATGTCCTGGCTCTTCCAAGCTTGATAATGGCAGTGGATTGCAACCAACAGATTGAAGCTCAAAAAAGTGCATCCATCCATGATAAACGAACTCCAAACGGCTCCAGGGGTTAATAAAGGCCTTCTGAAGCAAAGCGATGAGTTTGTGTAAGAACAAGATTCATATTTAACACGTTACAAAGTAAAATTCGAGCTTAGGATGGCTTGAGGGTGAGCTAATTTTCATTTTAAAGTGAACTACTCCTTTAATTATCGCCTAGCTCTTTATATAAAATGTGCATGTTCAACTTTATCCGCATACATACAGTACACTCACATACAGTGATATATATATAAAGCAAATCTGGATTGCTTGAATCGTTGCTAAATGTACGCAATATTATCATCCAGCTCTAATCTGCCAAATGTGACTATAAAGCATGAAGATTTTAAGATATTATACACATTAATGTCATGGTTTTCTGCAACGCTGCTTTAAACTGATTTTTTATATTGTGAAAAGCACTATATAAATCAATTTGACGGCTTGATGCATGAACTGATATTATATATTGTATAAGCCTAAAGCCATAGCTTGAATGCATCACTGTATGTTTTCACAGTGTGGAAAATGAAGAAATAAGCTCTGTTCCAAAACTTAGACACCGTTTTCTAAGATACCTTCTTTTGACAATCACAGAATGCATTGCTTTAAATACACGACACTGACAAACATTTGTTGTAGGATTTACGCTGAAACAAGTTTCACTCAGAAATTGCTAGTAAATTTCACCAAAAATTACAAAGAAAAAGCAACAAAAAAAATAAACATGGTAACACTTTCTATGAAGCCTGTATTTATAATGCATTATAAAGGTATTCTTAATGAATTATAATGCATGCATAATGCCTTAAAACAACATTATAATATGTTGTCTGGTAAATAATCATAACAATATTACAATACATTATAGCACTTACAAAATAGTGCTTGTGGTTATGACTTTATAACACCAGATAAAGCATGCATTTATAATGCATCATAATTGGTTTCTTTATGCATTATAATGCATGCATAATGCTTTATAAATAAACTTATAATGTGTTTAATCATAAAAACACTTTTTTTTTTTCTTTGTTGTGTTTTAAAACAAAGTTAATTGAAATTGAAGGTTAGGAAGCAGTGGGTTTTGGAACAGAGATATTCTTTATTCGTTATTTTTGTTGAACTATTTATTTTAAATGATAGGTAAGCTGTCTTAAAATTGACTTGCCCCATAAGCTCTAAAAATACTGATAGGTTGTTTCTGTTTCATTATTTTGACAAATTAGATTTAAAAATCCAGACGTTCCTAAATTAGATCATGATGGCACAATCTCTTAACTTGTGTAATATTTCTATACAAGGCAACAGTGTGCAGAGCATGAAGTTCACTTCATTTCTTTCCTTTCAGTCACAATTGCACACACACACACACACACACACACAGCGCAGGAATGTGAGGAATTCAACTAAAGCAAACAATGAACCTTCAGCCCTTGAATCTAATGAATCCAACTCATGGGGGGAGAAACACACACACACACACTCCAGTCGTCTGCAGCTCACTAAACCATTTGCAAAAATACTCCCACACATGCTGGAATTCACTGAATCGAACACAAATGCTATTGCAATAGCGTCATGCAGTGAATTCTCATTTAAAATGAATTGATTTATCACTCACTCTTGTTGTCTTCACACTGAGGTTTGATTGAGGCCATCAGCCATTCAAGACTTTAATTGCGTTAAACTGATTTAACCCTATAAACACCCTTAACTGTGGTAAATCTTGGCTTGCTTTCAAAAAACAGTGGCAAAAGCATTGGCACACATCATGGTTTAATAAATAATGGCATAATAATTGGAGAAAGTATTCTTCTGGCAAGTAATGCAACATTAGTCTGACAATAAAGCAATGGAGAATTGATATAAAATGTGCACTAACAGTCACAGGTGTGTGTTTATCACATTTTACAAATCTGTTTCAACGTGGCTCATGCGATTATCATATATTTGAATGAGTCAGACAATAGAACTCAGCATGCAAAATTCATCAGCATGCAGTTCATTGGGAGCAAGTTGTCTGATCCGCCCCATAACCCGTACGAGGGCCAATAATCAGCTCCTGAAGAATCTGTGTTCTGGGGAACATGTGGAGCCCTTCTCAGTGTGTGTGAGCGACCGAGCAGATGTATTTGAGTTATGTACAACTGTGTCTCACATGCAGATACACTTAAAAATCTTATGTATTTGTGTGTATTCTTGAAAATAATAACAGATGCATGATTTAAATAGGATATAGCTTCATCTCATGGGCGTCACTTTATTTTTTGTTGTTAGGATATAAGGATTAAAACAATTTTCCGACTCACCAAGCATGTTAACTTAGTTGTATAATATTTGTATAAACTTGTACAAACAAATACAACGCTTTAAAAATCACATTTGGGGTGTAATTGCTTGTAATTTATACTATAGAAAAATGAGTGAAAAAAAAGATTTCCATATTTGGGGATTTCCACAACATAACCCTATTAAACGTATTAATAGCCTATACGTCATCTGAGAGTGTGTTGTAAATGTGCATGACGTTTCAGAAAAATGACTGAATTCCGATGTGATGCATGTATGTCCTCTGTTAACATTGTTAATGAATAAATGATTTAAACGAGTGTGAAAAGTGCTTATTTTCTGTGCATTGAAGATTTTACCTGATGCAATCACACGTGGTCATTCATAAGATACACCAAATATGTCCAGAAGTCAGCACATAATAGTAGCAGAAGTCAAACAGGAACACCACCCCCAATGTCATCTGAAACCCGCATCTTCTTCCTGGGATTGGACTCTTTTTTTTTTTTGCGCATTCCTGCCTTTTTTCCCAGGATTCCTCATTTTGCAGCGCCGCGCGCCGATGGAAAGTTTGCGACTTTTCTAAGCAGCGGATCCACATCTGCGCTCTTTACTTATGCAGTGATTTATTCCGACACTTCGCTCAGGTGTTTGGTAAGGTTTGGAGATGTCTGTGAAGTCTTTAGACGCCGTGAAGAGGAAGATCCAGTGTTTGCAGCTCCAGGCGGACGAGGCGCAGGACAGAGCGCAGTTTCTGCAGACGCAACTGGACAATGAACGAGACCTGCGAGAGAAAGTGAGGAATCCATGATCTTTCCTCCTCTTTCTTTCTCTCCTGTTGCTGTCTGACGCTTTTCACTCGTTTCAGTGCTCGCCGAACACAAATAGTGGAGACCGGGGCTAGTTGTCACACTTTAGTGAACGTGTTGGTGAAGTTGCCAGGTCCAGTTGCACAACTGCTTGTTTTATTTTACAGTCGTTTATATCTGAGTATGTTATTTTGGGGAATTGTATCCTCAGAAATCCCAATAGGTGAGACCGGGGCTAGTTGTCAC